AGTTCTTGAAACGAGGAACGCTGAATTGATATAGGGAAAAATACCGGAGGACTAGAAAACTATCGTGAAGCCAAATGTGTCTGTTATGTAACGTACAAAAGATTTGCAGTGTCTGAAAAAATTAATATGTAGAGGCTGGATCTTTCCGGTACATCCTACAAGTACCAGTTCGTTTTGTAGAACTTTACCATCAGGTACTTCGGAAGCAGACAGTGCATGAACATACAAGAAATAGAGGCATCATTTACGGAGACTTTGTGGGTCCTATAGCTCCTTAATGCTCGCCTCTCTGCTCCTAAGACTTCACAGTTTTTCTGCTTGTGACATAAGCTTTCAAAACCATATGGGTTTCCGGCAAACCGGTATCAAAGGGGAGGTTTACTTGTACGTTACAGGGATACAACCTAACTCCGTTTTTCAGTTACAAAATTAAACTAAGAAGTCGTGACCTTCAGAAAAACTCTGTATCTAAACTCTAGAGTTTAAGCTTGAGGTCTTAGTGTGGTCCTGGTATAAGAGATTTTCCCGCTCCTTACCAATTACCTTTTGTGATGTAATTGGAAGCATGTCTGCTTAGTATCTAGAGATTGGGTGCGGCAAAGCTATTGCACATTTTTCATGTTTCCTCCTTCGATAAAGCTTATGATTCTACATGTGGCCCTAGAACTGAAATGTGTGTGTGGGGGGGGGTCGATAATTTGACACCACCAGAATTTAGCGCTTGGGTCTCCGACTTCTCAGACGCCTTTTAAGTGGAGGAGATTGTAAGGTATTTTCTCTTTCCTTATCACGTGCATCGTGGTGCAACTGGAAACACATTCGGCTAGCATCAGAAGGTCTGGAGCTTGAATCCCAGTGAAGGTATTGCATGTTTTTCATGTTTCTTGCACAAACAAACCTAACGACTCTACACATGTCGTTAGGTTTCTACACTCTTTGTTACTCAATTACAGGAGCACCAGCAGATGAATCCCTTATTAATTCTTCATATAGATAACGAATCGGTTCTTTCAAATCCCAGATTATCAAGTGGGAATAAATTAGGAAAGAATGACGCTCCAAGTAACTGTAAGAAAGTAAAAACAAGAAAATTAGTAATTAGTTAAAATAATCCAAGCCAATTACACGTCGGCGTAATAGCATCTAAGTCATTTATCATAAGTTTTCCTAGAATTAAGGATATGACAGAAAGTCTTTGCATTTATTCTAAAGAGAGACTAATGCGAAACATGACAGATGGAAGTATTGTTTAAATATCAATACGATTTGCTTAAAAATAGGAAATATACATTTTAAATCAAACTGATTTAGTCATTAGAAGAGTTTTGAAGAAATCTAGAAAGAGTTAGTCAAAAGGTCTACTTTAAAGTTTTGATTGATCGAATGAATGGCATTATAAAATTACAAAGAATTTATTGCGATTTCCTTTCTATCTTTCCATTTAACTGTCACAGTCTTGCTTTCTGAGTGCAGAACATTGTTAGTAATAAATAAAAGTGAAATGTGTGAATTATTTTGAAAAAACGTTTGAATCAAATCTGTTTGTAATTTCGCACATAGATTAGCAATGGGTTCATTTAGTACATAGGCATTATGCATCTCGGATTTAAGTTCTATTTCTAAACATTTTATAATTAATACTGTTAAAAATGATCCTGAAATTTTAATTATGACATCAAAATCTGCTCATATTTTAGATTTACTACGATGCGAGGCTAATGTTAACCTCAATGGAATTAGTATTTAACTACTTGTGGCAGCGTTTCTCAAACTTTTTAAGTGGAGACCACTTTTTAGAGACATTAGATATTTTTTTGGAAGCAGGGGAGATGAAAAATGTGCAACTCCTTCGCCGAGAATCGAACCACGGACCTCTCAATTACACGTTGAGCGTGCAGACCACCATACCACGAAGACATGCCAAGAAGGCGGGAGAAATACCTTATATACACCGCCTTTTAAAGGTCGACTGGGGTTTTTAGGGGACCCAATCGCCAAATCCTGGGTGAGGAGAATTTTTAAATTCAAAAATGATACACAAAGTCAAAAAAAAAAAAAATTACGCATTCAAATTCGGATTACCCAAGGGCGGATTGATTGTCTAATATTAGTCCATTATGTAAAAATATCTGATGTGAACAATACCACATAAATGTTTTGTACTGTATAACACTTCCGGCTTTCTGGGATGGAAATACTGAGAGCAGTTGTCTTTTTAATATTTATTTTTAAACTTAACACAAGTTTACTTAGTTAAATAAAAGGTAAAATATCAGCTCAATTAAAAAAAAGAAAAAGACAGCAGCTTTTCCGTCGAGTGATGCGACTTACATCTTCGGCATTTATCAGATAAAAGCCCTTTTTGTTAAATTTACCGACTGCGTCCACGGAAACCGTCCAAGAGGGGTTTCCTTTAACGGGTCTTTTCCTTGATTCTTTTCTGGCCTTTGTAGCTGACGCTGAGATATGCTCCCATGAGGAAAGGGAGTTCTCTAATGGAATTCTAACTGAAGTTTTGTCAAACCTGATGTTTGTCAGAAGGACTTCTAAATTATAAACGTTTGTTTCTGCATTTTATTTAAACTTATCTCCTCAAATTTCGTTAGAGATGTATTTTCATTTCAATGAATTCAGTTCTCACTTTGCGGCAAGGCAAAAGTATAAAAACACTTGATCTTCATTGAAAATTGTAAAATAAGGAAAAGCTTAAAACACCATACACAGTTAAAAACGGTTAAAGCAGAAGAAAACTTTTCGATGCACAAAACTGAAAGTTAACTTTCGGTCCACTGCGCAAAAATACAGCGAAGTTGGTTCACAAACTGGCTTAATTCATCATTCTACTAAGAGTTTCAAATACGCATAAATGCGGCTTCGTCAGGCTTAGAGGCACTTTTAAATTGTTGATAATTCTGCAACTACTGCATGCAGATTTACTAAAGGTATAAAAATCTTAACCAGAACGTAAGAACACTATAATTAAATCACTTTTAAATACAATACGCAGGATTTACCAACGTAGAAGAAATACTGGTCTCACCGAACCGGGTTATAGAGTGGCAATATATATATGCTTGGTGCGACCGATTGCAACAAAAAAGGGAGATGCACGGGTTGTTTCTGACCTCCCTTCTTTTAGTGACCATCAGATAATCCAGTATGAACTGGTAAATTCAGTGTCTTTCGAAACAAAACAAAGATTTAAGACTTGCTTTGGGGGACACAAGAAATTTCTAGAAAAGCTCAGGCCGTATGTCGTAATTAACCAAGAAAATTTAAATAATTGTACCACACCAGTCCAACTAGATGAGGCGGATGATACTCTAGTAAAGAATATCACTCAGGCAGCAAGTGCTTCCTACAAAAGGAAAGCCATTCAAGTTGACAAACCATTGTTCCACCAGGACAATGGTTTGTCAACTTGAATGGCTTGAGGAATGGAATCCCAGTCTCACAGCTCATAGAAGCAAAGTACGGGCCTTGAGGAGGCTGGCACAGGCAGAACAAGAAGAAGAAGTAAGATTCGTAAAAATGTTAAAGTACAGGAAAGAACGTGCTCTCTACAAAAAGCGCATACAGAAAGCGAAAACTGAATCTTGGAAAAAACATTGTTCCAATCTAAAAGAGACTTATGGCCCAGTGCAAAATATCGCAACAGATAGAGTCTTTCGCCCAACTCAGCTGGTCGCAAAACTGGCACCAAGTGCCTCTAGCATATCAGATGTCCTCCTGTCAGTGCTCACCACTATCTTTCCCAAGGATGATGTAAGGGATGACTTTGATGAGCATGGGCAAACAAGATATAACTTTCGAAACTTTCTTTGGACCAGCAAAAAGCATGATCATCAGCTCCCTTCCATTCAGGAAATTACTAGAATAGTCAAAGGCCTCGTAAACAAGAAAGCTCCGGGACCGGATGGCATCGATAATACTATGATCAAATATATTCATCATGAGTTCCCTCAACTTTTTCTTTCGTTATGTAGGGCTTGTTGGAAAATAGGACCCTTTCCTAGGGCCATGAAGTGGGCAGAAGTAGCATTGTTCCACAAGCAAGGTAAAGATCCATCGGATCCGGGAGCATATAGACCAGTTAGTCTTCTCCCTTCCATTAGCAAGGTACTAGAGAAGGTCATCTTAGCGCGGCTCAACTACTTTCTTAAGATTAAAAATTACATCAACAAAAGTCAGTTTGGTTTCTGTGAGGGGAAGTCTACGGAGGGGGCACTTAAGAACCTTCTGGAGAATATCGAAGCCAACAGGAACAATGACAGATACACAATAGTAGTGGGCAATGGATATCAAAGGGGCATTCGATTCGTTATGGTGGCCAGACGTAATTAAATGCCTGGATAATGCACAAATCCCTATTGAAATAATCAAGCTCTTGCGAAGTTATCTGCAAGATAGAGGAGTACAGGTTACTACGAATAAAGGGGTTATCAATTACCAACTGCAAAGAGGATGCCCCCAAGGTTCCTGCTTGGGACCCACGTTATGGAATTTGGTGGCTAACACAGCCTTTACTCTGTTTGATAATAATCCAAATGTGAATATACAAGCCTTCGCAGATGATTTTCTTTTAGTCATTACTAGCAGGAAAGACGTGGTACAAAAGGCGCAAAAGGCAGTCGACGACTTTCGCAGCCTGGGCCGAGAGTCACAAACTGATCATCTCTGCAACGAAGACCCAATTGCTCTACATAGGTAGGAAAGGTATTCCTAAAAGAAATCCGTTTCCATTAAAATGAACGGTATACCGATCAAATGCGCGCCCAATCTGAAGTACTTGGGACTGACTTTTAATAATAAATTATCTTGGGTTCCACACCTGAAGGAGGTGAAACAGAAAATAAACAGCCTTACAAATAACATGCTCAAAACAGCCAGAATACAGTGGGGAACGCCAGCCAATATTCTGAGAAGTTGGTATCGTACTATATCCGAGAGGATTATCTTGTATGGTGCAGCAATTTGGGGGGAAAAATATCTCCTCACATATGAGTAAACTATTGCTCACAATACAAAGAATGCAATTATTACTGATATGCAGAGGATACAGAACCACTTCTACAGCAGCACTTCAAGTGCTTGCTGGTATACCACCATTAGACTTACAAGCAGAACGGGAATCCCTATTGGCAAGAGTGCTGAGACTAGATGAGAATGCAACATTATGGAATCAGAACTATTATCACACAGACTATGAAAAGCACAAACCAGTTCTTTTAGGGCACCCCGCAGACATAGACTTGTCCGATAGCATCCAACTTGTGTACGCATCTTCAAAAAAGAACAGCTTCAGCCTCTACACGGATGGATCCAAAACAGAGCGAGGCGCCGGTAGTGCATTTTGCGCTTTACAAGGGGAGACTATTATTAAAACATGGAAAAGAAGACTAGATATTAGAAATACAGTCTTTCAGACAGAGGTTGCAGCGCTAAAAGCAGCAATTAAATTTGCAGTTTATTCACTTAGATTCAGAGCAACAATCTTCAGTGACTCGGCCTCTAGCCTGGCAGCGATTAGAGGAAATAAAAGCAGGAGCTCTTATGTACAAGAGCTCAAAAAAATTCTTTTGCATTGCCCTCCCTCCTTACGTCCACACTTGGTCTGGGTCCCAGCTCATGTGGGCATCACAGGCAATGAAAAGGCAGATGAGCTTGCCAAATCGGCAGCAAATGATAAAAGCCTGAGAGAATATCCTGTGAAACTCCCAACCTCTTATCTCAAGAGAAGTACTCTTGAAAATTTATTATGCCAGTGGCAGGAAAGGTGGGACTCAGCACCCACGGGTAGAAGGACCTACTCTTTTTTTCCAAAAGTGGGAACTGTAGCAAAAGTCACGAACGGTGCACAGACCCACTTTTTTTCTGGACATGGACCATTCCCTACCTATTTAAAGAGGTTCCACTTAAGCGGAACAGAATTCTGTGAATGTGGAGAGGTAGGTGATCCAAGATCACTATCTCTTCCATTGTGCATCCACCAAACCTTATCACCTGAGGAGAACCAAGTGATTTATTTTGGCCACAATGGGCAGAAACAATCTGCAAGAATAGTATTGCTAAACGCAAATTGAATGAGGTATTAAAGTACTGTGCACAGAGTCATGCAGGCATAAACAGAGCGAACACTTCAGAATAATTGACAATTACTGCACACATCTGTACCTTGTACGCTCACAATTAAAGGATCATCTTAGGGTAAAGACTTCCTTGTGAATGACATAACATCAGCTTTATTACCATTGCAGAACCTTGAACTGTTCAATGTTTGTGTGATTTAACCACATTAGTGCATAGATTCTTAATTTTTCATTGTACACATCTTTGTGACTTTTAGATTATCCTACAATTAAAACAAAGTCAACAAACTACAAAGTCTCATAACTGAAAGAATCATTAAAACGTATTGTAAAAATTACTAGTTATATAACTGTATTGTTGAATTGTTTCTATTCCATCATTGGCAGAATTATATTTATTTATTTACTCAGCATAGATGGAGGCATAACCTATTGTTACCCCCCCCAAAAAAAAGTGTTTTTTTTTTTTTTTTTTTTTTTTTTTTTTTTTTTTAAGTTAGAGTACAGAATATAAATTGGATTATGCTTTATGCTTGAAATATCAATGTTTAAATCATGTTGTTGGTAGTTCCACTGTATTTGCTAACTAGGAATGGTTTTGAAAAGTGTATTGTAACCTAACCTTAGCATTTTTCATTTATAGTATTATCTTTGGGTACCTGCATCAATAATGAATAACAGTGTATGGTTTGATTAACATTGTATATTATTTCTTAATTTTGCAATAATATGGCTAACTAGTACAGTGTGAATTGTAATCAAGATATAGAGCTACTGTATTTACAGTAATTGTTCAGTAAATCTGTATAAGTAGTAGTATGAGGTTATGCGACTTTAATGCTTATATATTTTGTAAATTTTGTACATATATATAATAGAATCACAATGTAATTGTACCCAATGTAAAATGCAATTCTAGCCGAGTTTGTACTTTTGTAGCTTATAGTACTAGAGTGTAAAGTTTCGTAGGCATTGTATTGTACTCGAAATTGTGCGATAGAAAAATGATCTAATATTATCGTATTATATTTATAACCAGGTTTACTATGTCTTGCATTTATATAGGATATTCTATGTCTTGCATTAATATATTCTTCTATGTCTTGCATTTATATATGATATTGTTACAATGTATAGTACTCAGTGTAAAATGTAGTGTGGTCTAGTGTAAAACATTGAAGTAGTATTGTAGTGTAAAGGAATTATAGCAACATTGCCCATGTTAAAGTAGTGTAGTATAGTTAGCAGCGTAGTAGTTAAAATAGAACTTGAGTTAACAACCAGGCAGTTATAGATACTAAAAACCTATGTAAAATAATGAGTGATTATGAAACCTAAGATTTTGAAATAATAAATGCTGTCGGATCAGCGAGTCATGATTAGACAGCATCTGCCAAGTGGAAACAAATACCGTAAAGCTTACTATAGTTAAGGGCGGCAGTCCACTTGAGCAGCGTTCAGCAGTCCCATATACACAATTTCAACATTCTAAGACTACTTGTTTTTGAGTTATGCGAGATAGAGACGTCATGAATGAAATCTTTTTAAATCCGTTATAAATTAATTTTACAACCCGTTTTGGAAAAGGAATCTTTTATTCTGTCCGTACGTAGCCACGCAAAAACATTGTTCAAATGGATTCCAGAGCCTCAAAATGGGTACTTTTCTGGAAATATGATATCCGAAATTTTTCACAATCACAATACTTCCTTTACATTACAAGGAAGTAAAAAGCATAAAGTTTGTCTACTGTCGAACGATTGAGAAGTTACGATTGAAAACCGATAGATAAAGGTAAAATGCATACGAAATGGGCAAAAAGGCAAAAACAAAATGAATGAGATGATAGCAGGGATAGCGCATGATGTCTCCGTATTTAGGAATAGTTTTTATTCACACCAGTATGTAATTTAACCGTAATATGTAATGTTCAGTATATAAATATTATTAAATCACCTATTATAATTAAGGCGCCATATTCCAAGAGTATTAGCTTCTTAAATATTTTATTCCTCTCCTTTAAAACTAATGTTGAGACTCTATCTGAATTTCGTTCCATTCAGTCGTTTTTTCCTCTTAAATAATGTTTATGCTGCGCCATCACAAGAAAATAAAAGCAAACAACTTAATCTGACTCCAACAATTTGATTTTTATTCCATCCACAAAAAACTTATGCTATTCGCCATAAAAGTAATTTCATTTCACACTGAATAAAACTGATTTGGCCTAGCGCTAAGAACGCTCATAACAACTAGCATTACACTGAATGAACCTGTGTTGGTATTATAGCAGAAAACGTTATTGCTAAAATTGCATTTACATTTTATTATTCATATCACGAAAGAAAGAATTACCAGTCATGTATAAGTCTAATGCCAGAGATAAAAAATCCGCATAGCTCCTATCCTGTCACGGACAAGTATCCTTCACTGCCTGTTCTCTTCAACATCTTTTAGAACGTTGTTTACCCTTATACATTTTATCAGTTAGAGTTTTTCTAAAAATAATTTTTAATTTTTTTTACCATTGCCATTTACCATTTTGTAAACTCTTGTCTTGACACGGCCACGCGCAAGAAAGCCCTTGAGCTACACGATTAAAAATAAATTAATAAATAACGTAAATAAATTACGTGTGCAGTTTATAATCTTCTGTTATTAATTATTATCCAAACTTAAGAGTAATGTAAAGAAACGCATTGTTTCTCTCTTATTCTTTCTTTTATTTCAAATGTGTTCTTATTTTGAGTATTGCTTTAATTTACATAACCTAGCCAAATGAATTTCTTCTCTACATTAATATTCTTTAAATTTAATATACATTTTTAATGTAGTACTTTCGTTAATTACAGTGTGGATTATTCTACTTTACTGCGCTTTCCAATGCTAATGAGAATGATTAACCATTATTTTGGGAACATAAATAACTATATATCTGCAATTTTGTGTCTTGGTTTAGCTTCTAAAAAGAAAAGAACGTTACACTTAGGCATTGTACAACAAAACGTTAATTCTATTGTTATCCGATACCATATATCAACAGTCGCAAACACAAATAGCATACCGACCGAATGTTTGATGTAAAACAGCAAACTGAGCCATTTTTTTAACAAAATTAAATATTTTTTTGAAGGAAACAAAACCATATCGTAATTAAATTTCAAACTTCTCTTACTAAATATTTATCAAAGTATGAATAATCAATAATAATAATAACACAAAAGGTGTGGTGTATTTAACTATGGCAAAGCACACTAGGGCTATCTGCCTACCGAACTACCAGTGTTCAGCGACTTTACCGCTCGGCCGCTGGTGGGCAAATAACACAAAAGGAGAAATTCAAAATTATTTTGCTTATTTTCTATCTGAATTCCGAAGTTTGGTACCTGCAATACATTCTTGTTGCTTACACTTTGTTCAAACATATTGACCGCTAAATATTAATATTTCAGACTAATAATAAGATAATTCTAATATGTTTAGTTATGTTATGTCCAGAAAATTCTAATATGTTTAGTTATGTTATGTCCAGAAAATTCTAATATGTTTAGTTATGTTATGTCCAGAAAATTCTAATATGTTTAGTTATGTTATGTCCAGAAAATTCTAATATGTTTAGTTAACGCTAAATAACTTATTTTAACATAAAATTAGAAACACAACAGTAGGGCGTAGATTGGCGTAGTTTGAGTTTGTCGTAGATTTGAGTCAAAATCTCAATCAATTTCCAAGGTAAACAAGTACAGGTCTCTCTTCATTAAGAGTAAAGAAATCTGCAAGGCTGAAAAGACTGCTTTCCTCTGATAAAGAGGAATCGTACTTGTTCGCCTTCGAAATCGATTGAGACCTTGACGTAACCTATGCCAAACTCAAGGTTATTTTGTTACTAATTTTATGTTTCACTTGGATTTTTTCTCTTCTGCTTTAAACTTATTTAAATTTAAATCAAAAATAAACAAGCTATACATTTTTTTTTTTTTTTTGAGTTTTCAGAGAAAATCTTTCGAGTGGAACAATACTTGAAAATAAATAATGACAACCAAGTCTCTCTCTGTTATTTATAAAATTTTTCCTCTAACTTAAATTAAAATACATATATTTGCGTGTAAGTAACTATAAATTTCTTTGTTTCTTCTACAATTTGACACTTGACGGCAATTCTGATAAAGTTAGATTTGCCGTCAAGTATCTTGAAGAAAAATTATGAGAAATTATCTTCATCACGGATTGTAGATGCTCTCTGCCAATCGAGTTCTTTTCTTAATAATTTTCAACTGCGAAATAAAGCTGTTCACGTAAAAATTGGTAATTAAACAAAAAATTGGTAAAAATAATTGTCATTTTTTTAAAAGTATGTAAATAAATTTAATTCAATCTGTACGTTGGAATTTTTGAAGAAATTTTTTATGGCATTATAATTTAATAAGCTCAATTTTGTAATGCATTATTTAATTTCGCTTCCAATGCAAAGGAAAATAATGGAAACTCGAACTTCAAATAATTAAAATTTTGAAACCTTTCAACACTGTATTACAATGCATAACTAAACATGACATTGATTCGGCGGACGTATGCCGTCCCCTAGTTGCCATTTTGGGACAACTGCTTTATACAAGAGATTACATATGTTATTAATAGAAAAAAAAGTCTGATAATATAGTAAAATTTTACACATAGTGTCGTTTTCTATAGGTTCGTGGATTTGGAGTGATTGATGAAAACACTTGATGAAAAGTCAAAACACAATTCGTTCGGCAGTATTAGACAGTAGAGTTCCAAAGACACGTTTACAGTCATCGAAAACTACGACAAACATGCTGAAACAATCAGCAACACAGCTTTTAGGCTATCAGGCCATTACGGGGACAGCTTCGCGACAGAGCACTAAAGTGCAGCTTCCGACTCGGTCGATCTCTTTCCGGCTAATCTCTGAATTCAAGACGCTACTACTGAACTCAACATACTCTACTAGTTAAGATATTCTCATTATTCCG